GGGGTCTGTGAGCTTTCTCCTCTTGTGGAGCCATTGATTGGTAGGCAGAGAGACGTGCGCTATGAGCCATTGCATGCTTCGGATCCTGGCTGGTCTGATGGATAGGAATTTCGACCACGGGGATGGATATGGGGGCCGAGGGGTCTAGGTTCAGGTCTGTGGTTTGTAGGCCCAACTCGTAACCGAATTTGACRTCGTATTCGTTTATCGTTCTTGTTTTCCCAGATTGACCCTGTTTCCAAACCCATTCCTTCRGATCAAATTCCAGCTCAGAGATGCTGAGGTCCGGTCGAAAGAGTATCCAGGGTTTGTTCTTTGAGACCCTCACTTTCCTCAATCGGAATGTATCGAGTGAATCGCACTGGGGTTCTCTGTTCTGGACTTCCAACTCGTTAGTGGTGTGCTTGGCTACAGGGTAAGAGTAGAACTTGGATAGGTAGCCAGATGGGTAGATTCTGGCGACGAATCTGTACGCTCGGGTAGGCTGGGTTTGGGATATTAGTACACCCCAGTCCCCTGATTTCCACGAGAAGTCCTCCCTTAGGAGGTGGAGCCAGTGCGGCGGGATGCTATTTTGGATCAGCGTTAAGTTTTCAGGGAGGGAGTAGCAGCCTTTGAGGACCTTGCGTAGTTCTTGATCAGTGGTCCATCGTCCTTGGTCTTCTTCCCAGATGTGTCTGACTTGCCACACCCCTTTTTCAACCCAGGATAGCCACCTGCGGTCYTTGGGGCGTAGGGTCCATTCCGCGTCGTTGGGGTCGGTGATCCAGGGGTTGCAGAACAGGGGTTGTCTTAGAACCTCTGCTCTGTTTCTTGGTGCACCGTGTTTGCTTAGCATCATTCTACACCAGGCTTTGATGGTGGGGGTCCAGTATGACCTGGCTGTTGGAGTGGGGTTTGTAGGCTGTGCGGGGTTTCTCCTGCGTGGTCTGCCCGATTTTATTGTCYAGTTCTTAGCCATGAGCCAAAACAGCCCGTTCATGTTTGGGGGGGAGTTGATGGGGGCTAGGTTTCTGATGCTGTCTAGCGCCATCTGAGTCCATGGGAGGAACTGACTAATCAGGATCTTGATGATCCACTTCAATGCAAAGCTATGGATTCCTATTTAGGGTCGCCCTTCCTGAGGTCTTCTGGTGATGTGGTTCCATGCTATCTTGTTGATGCAAGTGGTCCTGTTAGGATCGCCTGTCCACAGGTRGCATCTCACCCTGTTCTTCAACTTTTTGATGTCGTCGTCAGGGGGGGACCAGATGGATGCCATATACCACAGTGTGGAGAAGATCGCTCTGTTAATTAACATCGCCCGTCCGATTAGAGAGGCCTGAGCTTTTTTACATTGGGCCAGGCGGGTGATTGCCCTAGCAATTAGGTTCTGGCCCATTCCTGGCCATACCCCTTCCTTGTTTATCATAATGCCCA